GGGGAAAGGAGAGGAAGAGGGGGAGGGGGAGGGTTGGTTAAATACTTTTACAGTCGCTTCATGTAACTGAAACCGGAAAAATATCCGGCCAGGTGTGTCTTACCCCTCGTGAGCTGGCCCATATTGAAATAACTTGTCGCAGCAGTTTGAGTAATGCCTCTGATTTTTTTTTATCCAGGACCAGAACATTTTGATGAGCTTGTTTCACTTGTGAAACAGAACTGTCTTTTCAAGGACGCGCTTAAACTCTACGTAAAATCTAGCCAGGAGCACCGGGTAGGTCGTTTATTCAGTGATAGAAGATTATGATGTTTTGTTCATTTCCAGTTCTATTTATTTCGTGACTCAGCGTTAACTTACGAACCGACTGAACTAGATAAGTGGCCTGTGCATCTGTGCATTCACCGGACTTGCACATATACCCACCACCCTATCAAAGATAAATTGTTAGTAGCTGCGAGGTGTTTTATTTACAGGTGTTGTTAGTCGCTTATGGCGAGTACCTTGTTCAACAGAAGAGACACGAGGAAGCCGGACTAGGTATTCTTATTCAACGTTTCAAATTAGGAATAGGAAAAAAAATCGGCGTTTAGGGAAGTTATAAATCTGCTTCTGCCAAACCCTCCAGGTACAACTTCAAATAATTTGACACTTTCTAGCCTTGAATTTAATCGTGGAATGATTGTTTTTCTATCTTAGTAAGTATTCGCTTTCTTTTTTGCAGTATTTACTAGTTGTGGAGCACACGAACAAGCTCTATCATCCTTTCAAAAGAGCGGAAACTGGAGACAAGTATTTTGTATGGCTTCACTGTTGCAGTATAGAGGCGAACAAGTGGTTTCATTGGCCAGAACTGTTGCAGGTGTTGAACTCATCTGGACGGTTTAACTCTCTTGTTCTTTTAACATCTGTTGGTCAGGATTAATGTTGTTTATTTGCAAAATTGTAGGTTATCTGAAAGGACATAAGCGTGCCCTTGAAGCATCGAGGGTCTTAGAAGAGTATGCAAAGGTAAGAAAGTGAAAATACCAGGCTCTAGTTATGTGACGCTAGCCAGCCAGTGGTGTATGATGGATTATCACACTAGTGATTTGTATTTTCTCAGTATTAAGACTCGTGTGTACTCGGCCATGAAAATACAAGGGACAACCGGGATATTCCATTGTTCTCAATGATTAGTTGTTGCATAGCTATATTATATCATGCTTTAGAATTGTTTATGATTTTGTATTTTTATTCTTTATTTATTCTTTTATTTTCATTCTTTTCAAATTTTGAAGACTTACTGTTTTCTTACACGAGCAAGTAAAATTTAACGATATAATGTTCCGACGTTTTGGCGATCTCATGACGCCATTATAAAGGAATGAATTAAAGAGCGAGTTTAAAGAGTTAAGACCAGTAAATTTACATCAATAAAGTTAAATAAATATTTTAGCGCGGATCGAATCTGTTTGTACCTTTAAACGTGGTCTTAATAGTTTGATGTACAGCATTTCGTTAATTAAGAAGTCTTGTTTTTGTAATTTTTGATTTGTTTTCGTAGGATCCTGAGGAAGCCATCGCTGTTCTTATCGACGGAATGCAGTGGGAAGAAGCCCTGAGATTGGTGAGTGAAAGTGTGATATTAAGGCGCCTTACTCGTAACGTCAACTTCTTTTCTGAAATTACGTAAAGCGTACTTTCTGAATTCACGAATAGTGTCAATGGTCAATCTCGAATTAGCGAGACAGTAGTTTGTAAAAGAGCCATATTATTGCGTTGCTTAACAGTGCAAGCATTCGTAAACGAGAGCGAGTGAGCAGGTGAGACTGGGGCGGGATTATTATTTCCCGCCGGCCCTTTCTACTTTTGTTGTCTTTGGTGCAAAGAGTGAGTTTTCTGGTGTCAACTTTCTGTGACATTATTGGTTATAAGCTTTGGGTTTCATGTTATTTCGCAGATGTACAAACATGATCGGACTGATATTGTGGATACACATTTCAGAGGCGCATTGGATGAAGGTTGAAAACAACTATTTAATTACCTATTTTCGCAAAAATGGAATTTTTAATGCTCTACAAAATCATTCATCATAAGAGATGACTCACAGGAGTTTTTTATCCAGAGTACTAAAAATTTCAGGCAAGGATCTGAAGGAAATTTCAGTGAGGTCATCTTTCTCTAACACAATTTAACTGACACATTTATTGATGTATAAGTTCTCTTGAACGAAGAGAATTAACGTCGGTTTTATTATTTCAGCGTACAACCAAAACTTGAGCGGCATACAAGAACAGGACGAATTGTTCAATAAATACACCAAGCGACTGCAAGTTGTCAGAGAACTGAAAGAACAGCAAAGTGTAGAGTACCAAGGTATGACATTTCATTATTCAAAATGAAATTTTTTTTTTCCCCTCTTGGCTTCCTGTTTGTTGGTTGCTTTGTTTCTATGCCTTTTTGTTCCTTTTAGTCGGCCAATAACCCCGCCTGAAAGAATTTTTTTCTTTTTTGTTCTTTGTTTCAATCAAACTGGGCGTTTTTTGTTGTTGCCTTTCTTTACAGAGAGTGGACTGGCGCGAGATGATACGGATCTGTTCTCCGACACGAGTAGTGTAGGTGACAACTCGGAGTATGCCTCCAGCACCAGTTCCCGCGGGTCAAGATCAACCGGGTAGACTTAAATCCTATTTTGAACGAAGCACATATTTTCGAAACTTCTTTGTAGCTAAGCTATGTGTGTAATAAATTAAACCTTATTTTTAACAGGAGGTCCTCCAAAAATCGCAGAAAAACTGTACGAAAGATGTACAGCTTGAAAGAGGGCAGTAGATTTGAGGATTTCGCCTTGATGGAAGCTCTTTCTGAGATTATTCAAACAGTCCACAAGACCACAGGTATGCTAGTCCAGTCCAGTATTCCTTCTTTTGCGCCTTCGTTCAAGTTGAATCCAGGCAGCCCCATAAAGGGCGTGGAAAGCTCAGTCTGAGGACTGGACCACTGGTAAGGTTGCCGGAATGACTTAACCATAATCACAAGACTGACATTCGCAGTTAAGTGTCAGTCATAAGTGCTGCGGTACGTGTAACGTTATTTCCGATTGCTTCGTTTGCAGACGACGTGGCGTCCTTGCTGAAGGTGTTGATTTTGTTTGATCGTGAGGAAAATGCTGCCGTCCTTCAAACTAACTTTCAAAAGCTCATCTTAATGATAGAATCATCCACCGGCGCTATCTGGCCTCCAGAGGAAAGCTCAAGCAATTTGAGTCAAGCTTCTCAGGTATTAAGCGCAAAGCTGACCATTAAAATAACCCACTCTTCCCAGCTCTCAAAAACACAGTGGTCAAACGTTTGTACATATACGGAGGTTGTAACGTCCAAGTGAGAACTCACCATGACCGCGCCTGTTGCGTGAAATTTGGCATAACGTGGCTCCCACCAATTATTCGAGTCTCAGTGATTTTACTTTGTCTCCAGCTCACAGGTCCTGGAGCCACTGTTAACAGCATCATTGCAGCTATGAGAAGTGACCAGAGTACGACATTAAATAGGCCAAAAGGTATTCATCACTCTTTGCCTTTTTTTTATTTCGTCTTCAATGGTACATGTTTAATTCAAGATCTTAAATGTTAGAAATAGGTTGCGTGAATTTGCCTTTCACTCACCATGGGAGAGGAAAACGGCCCCAAGCGCGGGCGCCGGTATGCAAATTGCGTCAAGTGAAGTAAAAATTCTCCAAATGTTTGGATCTGTCCCTTAATAAGCATGAAACAATCTTACACCATTTTGAGAAATCCTTAACCGTTTTCTTTATGTTTTTAGATGAGCCGCAAAGGCCAAAACCTCCGACCTTCAAAATAGCAACTAACTGGAAGCTTGACCAACTACTGTCATAACAAATGTTCCCCGAGAAAAGAAAACCAATGTTGTCCATGAGGCTTGAAGTTCAGTGCTTCTTACAAAGGGTGTTCGTATTTAAAGGACGTAACTAAGCCCCCCGTTCTCAAGCAAGAGCTATAGACTTTGAACCAGTAACACAAAGGGAAAGAAAAGCCTGGATGGAGAAAGTGAGAGTGCGCAACGGGCAAAAGAGCCTCAAAAAACGAAGGAGGAGATCACAGAGGTGAAACGACACAAGACAAGAAGACTTGTTTTCTTAGCTCTTTATATCAATTGAGTTAAACAATTCGGACGAGAAGAGAACAATGTTTCACTGGACACTTGACGGTTGATGTCAGGCCATTATCGAATTCGAACTAGAACAGGCTCAACAATGCTCGTGCAATCAATGTTATAAATGAACTGCATAATGTTAAGTTTAAACATTCAGTCCGGTTTCTCTTGAACGTTCTCTGCCCTAAAGCTGGTTTGCCTTCAAGTAATCTCAAAGGAAAAGTTCTAGGGATGCTATCATAACCCGACTTTGCAGTGAGTTTGATATCATTCGTTTCACTACAGAGGTTCTTCTTTAACATGCAGAACGCTGATCCGTGCATCACCAGCTAACAAAGAGAACAAAAAAAAAAATGGTTGAGTATGTGTCGCAGTGTTTGAAAATAGCGCTACTGATACTGGCTGATGTCTTTAAGGTGAAAGCAAGCCGCCAAACAGAAGAAAAAGTTTGACCATGGATCCTTTGAGCCCTAAGAGTAACTAGCATCTAATTTCTCCTTACAATATCAGCCCTGAATCAAGTATTGCGGTCAGGAGAATAAAGGAAATGATCATCAACTTAAGAAGCTCTTGACTGTAAAACAAATTCTCCTTGTCAGCACCTTAGGAAATGTATAGAGAAAAGAATGAGCGGAAAATATGCATACTGTTGTTACGATGTAAACGGTTAAGCAATTAAAGGAGAGTTTTTATGCTTTCATGTGCTTGACTGCGTTTACTTTAGCAAGTAGTTTAGTAAGTAAACAGAGGCATGGTACTCAAAACATTTTACCTCGAAGATTAAGGAGTTCAATCTCAAGCTGTTCTCTCTTCTTCCTCTGCAAATCCATCTGCAATTTGTATGAATCTGGAACAATATTTGGATCAAAGTGCTTAAAATAATTTGAAGACAACCAAACGAGGATCAGTTTTTGAGCAATTTCCAATTGAGTGTCGAAAGTAATCAAGGATTTCCTTGTTTTTGCTTCACTTCATTGTGTGATTGGTCCACAAAACTCACCTCACTTTTGCAACCAATCAGATTAAAAACTAACAACCAATCACGACTTGGTCGGCCACGTTTTCCCGCGCTTCAGGCATTTTGTTTGTTTCCACTTCGAGTTCTTATTAGCTCCTTGAAATATTTTCCTTCTTCTGATTGGCTGATGTGATTGCTTCAGTTTGGTTTTAGGACACTCAATCGAAAAGCGCTCAATCAAGAACCGGATTTGCATTGGAACAAGAAACGGATCTGCGTTGGAACCAGAACCGGATCTGTGTTGGAAATATTTGTGCATCATCACTGCCAGAGCCTAATGGAAGGAAGGCTTGTTGCAGAATGAGCGGAAAATATGCATAAAAACCCCAACTTACCGTGCAAAATCTTCATTTCTAATTCCTTTCTTTCAATGTTTTCTAACAGTTCCGCATTGGAATCTGCCAGAACGAAAAAACCAAACTGAATCTTAACATCGGGGAAAAAGAAACACAAGTACCCTCAAGCTTGTGAAATGTGCAGTACCTCAAATTTTCACTATTGCTTAAATAGTGCTTTACTGCGAAGGATCGTGCACATATAAGTACCTCAAATGAAAGTAAATACAGCCTTCTGAACAGGCGTCAAAGCACACGTGAAGCGAGCGTGAAACGAGGGCGAAGCGAGCATGAGTAGCGAGGCACGTAAGAGGCAAGACGCGCGAGGAAAATAAGGCATACCGGTAATTCTCTCTCAGTACAATAAAATAAATATCGAATACATACTCTTCACTTGATCTAACTCTCGCTGCACTGCTAGCCTTTGCCCTCTCTCCTGTTGAATTTGTTCCTGATAGGCATCTTTAAGAGGAGCAGAATTACAAGCTTCAACATAAATTGCATTAGCAAACTATAAAAAAGGACAATTTTCATCTTCTATAACCTCAATATTCTACCAATATAGTCATAATAAAAATGAGTTTTTCCTTTTTTTTTTCAACCCTTAATCGAATTTTTTGAATTAGAGAGTGATTTTGGGTCTGTTCCAGAGCTGTTCGACCTCCTTGAATATTTCCTATGTATATAAATTTTTATATCATTTACCATATAAAATATTCATTTCTGTTTCTTTACGCTGCAAGGTCTTCAGAAGGTCATCATGGTCTGCTGCAAAACAAAAAGAATGTTTTGTTTTTTTTTCTTTATCATTCATCACGTACAAAGTATCTGCTTGAACATATAAAAAAAATTAATTTAATCATAAGAAAGCCACACAGTTTTCAGTTTACCTCTGCATTTTTTCACTAACTGTTCTATCCATATCCCATCACTGAATAAAACTCCCCTGGGTCTTTTGCAGCTATGATGAATACTGTCTGGGAAAAAGGTCAACATTCACATCCATTAAAATTTTTATCTTTACCACACTGACAACCTGGGTGTGGAGAAATACAGGGAACACAGTGCTTCACAGGCACACAGATAAAGAGACAGACAATACTAGCCAATACATTGATTGCAAAGTGAGTTGAGAGGCTGACAGGTATGCAGAAAGACAGACAAGACAAAAACAGACAGACAGACAGACAGACACAGCAAGAAAAACACAGAGAGACAGATTAACAGAGACAAAAGGCAGGTAAGCAGCAAAAAAAAGGGAAAGAAACAGATGGCAGGCAAATGGAAAAACTGATAGAAAGACACAAACTCACAAACCCTTGGCAACCAAGCAACCAATCAAAAGTACACTCAGTCGAAAGGCTGGCAAGCAGGCAGAGACCATCTACACAAAAAAATGGACAGACAAGCACTAACTGTCCCCAGGCACAAATTTTTGAGCAGCATCATGCATTTACACCATAATTTATCCTGACAGCTTACCATCATTTGTAAACTTTACTGGGGCACCTGGAATAGTCTCTCTTCCTCCCCCATCACTTGAAATTGTTGAATGAATACTTGAACATGTTGTGACAGCACTGTTTCCTACGATGTTGGTTGGATGTATCTTAGAACAAGACAGAGTGGTGTCACAGCTCCAACATCCTGTCATATCCATGACATGGCCGTTTATAACCTGCTTGCTTTGATTGACATTCAATGCTGCTTGATCAACATCTCTATCATATCTGCCGGGAAGATGCATTGGTGGTGAGGGATTGTTTGAAAAGATTGCTCTTCTTGGTTGTAACTGATTGTTAGGAGACCTCACTTTATCATTTGTGTAAAAGGCAATTGGGACAGACTGTGGAAGCTTTGCAAGGCTGATGCTTGATGATGGTGATGAAGTTGAGGGGTGGAACAATGTCTCTGGCAAGTCATCATCATCATTAATGCTCTCCATAGATTCTGTGTCATCACTGACAAAGGCTTTGTAAAGATCTGAAATGGAATATACCTCGCATGTCTCACTATCTGCAGCATTTTCATCATTGTTCTCCACGTTAATGAACTCGGCATCTGCACTAGAAATCGCATCAGAAGCTGAGCTGCAGGCCACACTTTCCACTGCTGTTGGTGACTGCCATTCAATTAGTTGCAACCTAGTTTCATTTTCTGGTGTAACGTAAAACTTCAACACCTTATCAACATCTGATTTAGTGATGAATGTGCACAAACTTGGCATTTTCATCTGGGTCAGAACTTTCAGTTGACAAATGTCATTGTAGGAATACTTATACTTGACAATTCCTAACTTGTCAAGATTGTACTGCAACTGAACACATTGGCCATTCAAAAGCTGCACAGCTTTGTGAACATCAGGCATTGACACAACAATCTGATCATTAACAAAAAACATTGGAATTTTCAAAGTTTCTTGGCTACCATTTTCAACCAGATGCATTTGATTGTCTCCAGAGACATTATTGACAGCATCTCCTAAATTGATTGGCTCACTGAACTCAACTTTATGTAGAATGTTGTATCTGACATCACCATGATTTGCACTGTACATTTGCAGTAACCTTTCAGCATCACTCTTAGTAATGTAAGTGCAAAGTGTTGCTCTTGAACTCAGAATATGGTGTGATTTTAGCGGCTTTAAGAAAACTCGTTCAAACCTTCTTGTTGGAATGGTAAGGCGATGCATATAATTTCCCACTTGTGCGCACTGTTTAAAGATGTCAATCACCGCCTTTTGAAGATCAGGAATGCAAACAACAACCTCATCATTCACACAACAGGTACGAATTATGTATCTGCAGCAATTTGTGCAAGTTCCTTGTGATGTTGGAGAACTTCCACTTTGTGGTGCAACATGCTGCACATCTGACAAATTATCACAGCCTGTAGTACCCAACTCATCCTTCTTTACCAGGCCACTCGGAGAGCTAGCTCTGGGAGCATCAGCTGTGTTTGCAGTTTGACAATCGCCCAACTTGAAATTCTCAATACAATCTCCAGATTTATGCAACAACTCAACAGCCTTTTGCTCATCACATCTTGCAACACTGTTTGATCCTTGAGACACTTCTCCCTCACTGGGTAAAAGTGATTCATTTGAACATATCCACGCAATTTCTGGTGGATTTTGGTTTAGGAAGGCTGTAGTGTGTTGCAGAATTCTATCAAAATCCTTGCTTTTTATAAACAATTTTGTGCAGTTACTATCAGTAATGGCACTATGAATTTGCACATTCTTCAGTCTATTATACATTAACATACTGACACTTATTTCCAAGGTTGATAGAAATTGGAGTAAAAGGTTTGGCCTCTTAAAATGCGTCGCAAAGAAGGAGTTTACTTCAGATAAAGTAAGAACTTCCTGGTTTTGGATCATATATACATGAATCCTATGCAATGAAATAGTATTCTTTAATGGCCTAGTGATGTCAGAAGTGTTATCATTTCCTTTACTGCTCTGCACACCTTGAACATTTGCAGCTGAATGATTATCACTGATTTCAACTGGAGTCAAAAATTGTATAAACTTGGCTTTATCTGTGTTGTAAATCTCATCATACTTCATAATTATTTGAGGAAAATCTTTGTCAGTGATAAATGAGCATACTTTCACCTGCATGTCTACTGTCCCAGTGCTCTTTAGTTTTCTCAGTTCTAACTGGTTGAATCTGTGTGTGTTGATTCTGTGCTTTCTCAACAAGTGCTGCAAATTGCTGTACGAACCCCAGATCTTTAAAACTGCCTGGCATGCATCAGTAAAAATGATCACAATGTTACCATTTAGAACAAATCGAGGTACACAGACAGCTGGTACTACCTTCTCTCTGTTACTAGTACAGTGACACTCGTTTAGCTTTAAAGGATTAAAATCAGGCTCAAACTGCTTTGCAGAATCGTGATCCACTTCAACAATGATTTCCTCTGTGGCAGAAACACTCAGATTCTCAGTTTTAGAATCTATACCAAGAGGTACATTTCCTTCGGTAGCCATTGAGAATTCGTCATTTCTCTTACAAGGTTCCATACTTAATTCGTTCCTTTTTCTATCTGCAGTAGTTTGCTTGGAGAGGCTTTTCTGCATTCATAAAACTACTGCTGGTAAAAGAATAAATCATAAATTATCAAAAAATAGCGAGGATTTTCCATCTTAAATATTTTAAGGACAGGGAAAGATTTCCATAGAACCCCTTACATTAATTATGCATTCTATTTCATAAAGACTAAATATAAAGGTTTCTTTGCAACACTCTATGCATAGTTAACGTATGGGGTAATAAGGAAATCTTCCCCTCCTGTGTAGCGAGCAGTTAGAGAACATATATTATAAGTACTCTATACATGATGGTGACCATTTTTCTCCTTGATTAAACTTTTTCTTTATTTTCGGCTGGGTTATAACAATTAATGTCTTCTCAGGACTGCGTTACCGCATCAAAAATGGTGTATAATTCAGTTTCCCTTCTTCAGTAGACTTCCTCTGTCGCTAGAAAAATAAAATTTGATTAAATATGTAAACAACAGCACATACCTACAACCTAAAGGTAAAACAGGGATTCCTCGATGAACCAACCAAAGCAAAACAAAGGAGGAATTTTCTCTTCTTTCAAAGACTGAGTAACCACTCCTTGAAAAACAAAGAACTTTGTGGCCTCTTTGTGGCCTGGGTGAAAGCACGGCTGACGGTTCACATCTGCGATCGAGAGCCGGTTTCATCGAATTTTTGGTCATTTCCTTAATATTCTCCGGCCAAACCTAATGAACTCACAGTGGAAATTCTTTAGTTACAAATTTCCTCAAATAATTTAAAATATATCTAAGGCGTGACAAACACGTCACGTACTGCGTGACTTGATGCCTGTTCATTTCTACTTGAAGACGTGTGATTCGGTCGAGGTTCCCTGAGGTACGACGAATATTCATCGCCTCCAAGGCAGAGAAACGCAAAGATGTCTAAGTCTTTGAATTTGGGATTTAGTTACTTCATTGACAGTGCCCTGCAAACTGCTACCAAACGCTTTTCACACAAGAAACTGTGGTAAGTGGCGAGCGAACAAATATTAAACAGATCTCAACGATTTAATTGTTATTTCTTATACTGAGTTGGACGATTTCTATCTCCATTAGGAATGTTTCTTGAACTCACTTCCTTCTGAGTGGAGCATGTACACCCAAACTTGATTCGAGTTCGAACCTTTATTCTAACATTGCCATGGTTGATTAGATTTATTGATTTTATTTAAAATAGACAATCAACGTGTGTAAATTATTCTTAAGATCATTATAGATTTCAACTGCTGTAAGTTGTAACCTTAATTCCATCCTTCCGGTTATGACCCCGAGGATTGTTAATTTGTTTTCCTTACTTGGTTAATACTCCCCATCCCTGCCTACGAACGAATGATCGAATGGGACAAAACCTGTATGTCTTCTTTACGGCCTTCCATGTTAACGTTATCAAAGTACCCGCCAAGATTTCCACACAGCCTCCCTTACTATGGGACTGTGGCTTAATACAGAAATCTTTTCAAGCACCCTGTGCAACAAAATAGAAATGGTATATTCCTGACAACTGTGAATGATACAACCACATATATATTAGCTAGAAATCTACCTATAATCATCCAACTTTCATTCATTTACCCCCCCCAAGTGATTGTTGCAAATTGGTCAACAGTTTAAAAAATACATGCACACTAAAAGTGAATAAATATTTGAAATGTGCAACCAACCAAAAGATAATAATTCAATAATTGATGAATTTCTGACATTTTCTAACTATTGTAGGAATGTTGTACTTCATGTTGTGACTTCCTGGCCCATGGCTTGGGCCATGCTATGTATTGGACGCAATTTTCTACCAATCTCTCTTCAGTTTTTCTTAATTATTGTGAAATGTCTCCTGTGCATTACACAAGAGCCTCCAATTGGGGTAAGTACTACAGCTGCCAAGGACACAAGTTAGATTTTTAACTCATCTCTAACAAAGGTTCTTGCATTTATATCCCCAACCCAAGACCCCTTGAGATTCTTTTTGAGTTTCATTCTTTCCTTTGAAAAATTCAGCTTTTGAATGTCTATAAGATGGATATGAATGTATATCCCTGATGCAACACTTAATTGTTCTCTTTCTCACCCATGCTATCTTGTTGAGTTGTGTGGATCTTATTGTACAGACAGTGGCTCCTCTCCCAGGGCTCAATGTACTTATTTAAAAAGTTCAAACCAGGCAAAAATGGTTCTCATTCTTGGGCTTTACAGATGATGAAATAAAAATTACATTAATGCTCATGCCAAAAAGTGAGTGGTGACAGGTATGAGTCACGAATATATGAACCTATAACGTCAATTACAGGACAGTAAATTAATGTCACTAAATCTTTATGCGAAAGTTAGCGGGTATCATCCTTGCCCTTTAATGCACCTATAGGAAGATTTCCATGTAAATTGATGTTCTCCCTGTTTATGTTCATTCTTCAGTTTGTCTATTCCATTTTCTACAATATCGTGGCATACTATGCTGTATATATACACACCAGTGTAACAACTTTCCAAGCTGGTATTGTCATCAGTATATGCCTGGCATTTCAATTCTTGAGTCACCTTCTCTTGGAAGGTGAAACTCCCCAGAGACTACCAACCAAAGAAGACAACCTGCTATTTCAAGTTATGGATCTGGCAAATGAGTTCTTCCTGGCACCATTCCATTTCAGCTTAACGTTATTGATCAGGTTTGACTTTCTACCAATTTTAAGGTGGCGCTCAGATGCAGCATTACACAAACTTATAACTTCAACGCAAGAGATCAAGTATGGCAAAAAGTCGCCATGACATGCCATGTTCAACTGCAAATTGTTTCAGTCTAATTTTTAAGTATTTTATGGAAGAGACACTTATGAACTTACACTGAACCATGAAACTGTGACTGAGCAAATACTAGGCACTTTAGGGCCTGTCTACTCAGAGGTGAGGGACCTTAGGTAGGCAATCAAGGTAGCTCACCTGTCCAAACAATCTCTTATTTTATCTTGATCATGTTTACATGATGGGTGGGGTAACCCACCAAGGCAGGTTTCCCTGTCTGCAAGGTATGATAACCCTGTTGGCCGTGCTAGCTTAGCCTGGGTCACATTCACGTTACATTTACAAGCACACCAACAACCTCATCCTAGGATCAAGGGGTTGTAAGATTGTAGGTAAATACAGGCTATATTTTAACAACAGCTATGCAGGTTACCTCACCTACCTGGGGGCCCCTCACCTTCTTGTTCAAAGGCCCTTAGCCCTTTCACCCTCAGAAGTGACCAAAAAGACATTCCTCCTTACCACATCAATTTATTTTACAGCAGAGGGATGATGAGAAGAAAGACAATTATCAACTATAGGAAAAATTTTTAACAGCAGATTCTTTGTGCTAAAATTATTAGAAGTGTATGCCAAGCATTGTAGAAAATTGGTGCTTACATATTAAGAATGAGAGGATCAGTTCCTTTGTATCCTGTGCAGTTTAATATTTTGGCCCCAAAATTTTCCCTTTCAGTGCTTTGTGATACACAGTTTGTCATTTGAATTATATCAGTAATCAGAATTCAGCTGTTAACTTACTTCCCACAGCAGACAAAAATATTCAGAATGGCAAAACATGGAGTTTTTATTGATTGAACTGTTCATATTTTACCATTAGTAACATAAAAATTCTTTGGTTATAGATGTCTCTAATATATTATGTTATATGGTAAATGTTTTGAATTCCAGAGTAACATTTGATTTCATGGTCCTATCATCCAAATGCAACGGTTCCCATTTTTTTCTTATTGTGGGCATATAGTCATTTAAGAACACACATGCTCTACTTCTAGACCCTCACAAATAACAAGGAAAAAAGTCACCCTTACTCGGGGAGTATCATGGAGGTGCGAGGGCCTCATGGTTGGTGTACTCAACTCCGGATGGAGTGAGCCCCAGCTGGGGACATTGTGTTGTGTTCTTGGGCAAGACACTTTACTCTCAAAGTGCCTCTTCACCCAGGTGTTTCAATGGGTACTGGCAAATTTAATGCTGGGGGGTAACCCTGCAATGGACTAGCATCCCATCCAGGGGGGAGTAGAAATACTCATAGTCGCTTCATGCTACAGAAACCGGAGTTAAGCGCCGGCCTGATGGGCCACTGGCTTGTAAACAGACTTTACCTATCAAATCAATTTTACTGTGCACAACAAGAAACAACAACTACAAAACATTTGTTGGAATTCAATGATTGGTCTAAAATAATGCAGGACAGAACCATGATTTCCATCAACTTTGAAATTTAAAAAACAAGTTAACTTTATCTTTACAAGTTTCAAAGAAAGGAAATAAAGTATATCTTCTTCAATTTTCAATCAGTAGTGTTTGCAAATATTTCTGTTTCTCTCTTAATTTTAAAATTAAAATATAACTTACAACAGCTTTTAATGTGAACCCTTGCTACAAAAAAGTTCAGTACACTTATTACTTATACCTGACTTTAATATACATTAATTTACAGAAGTTAATTAATTAAAAAGATGTTATGATTGTAACTTCTTTAAAAGGAAAATATATTAAGAAAGAATACAATTTTAAAAATTCATGACGAGTCTTCCAAATTTTCAAACTCCTCCGACTCAGTTGTGTCTTCAATCTCTTCCATGGTGATATCCATTTTGGTGATCAAGTCTTGAACTGGGACAATTTCAGGGAGAATCCACTGAACTGGGCGAGATGTCAGAAGGTATTCAGTCATTACTTGTGGAGGGACACAGACATAAGCAGCTAGCTTGTCTGTAGCACCCGAGAGAGGCTGAGCCACCTTTATCATCATATTAGCAACGTAAGATGGCATATCCATGATTGGGTGAGCCTAGAAAAAAGCAATAAATGTTTGTCTAGTGCCACATTTCAGAATAATACACCACAAACAATATTATTGATCAAATGGCTGTGTTTGTTTTGTTTGGGTGCAAGCTGAGAAAAATTGGCTTAAGTTCATCACTTCAAGATGCACTATGAAACTCTCTGCATAAAATAAATAAACAAAGCAGACAGTTTTTCTAAAATGGTTGAAATTTTTCTTTTTGGCTTTTCTTTCCTTCTAGAAAGTGTTTTAATTGAGCTAATGGGACTTTTTAAAGACTAGAAAATGGTATGTTTTTTACATTTAATTTAGTTCTTCTGTGGACTTCACCCAATAGCGCGCACTTCATGAGGTCAAATTCAGTGATCTTGACCCTCACTCATGTCTTCACCTACCACACCCTGGCCATTGGAACTGGGCCTAGGGTTTTAATTGGAGATAGGGTGATGCATTTGTCAAACTTAAAACTTACAGTTTATTTTGTTTTGTGATGGAAAAGGCAGCATCACCATGAATTTTTAACTCCAAACATATCAGAGTAGCCAACATATTTACCTGATGAAGAGCAAAAACTAAGTCCTTTGTACAGACAATCACTTCACCCGTCAGACCAAGAGCCAAGTTTGGGATGTACATGGTTGCCTTGTAGACTTTCTTGCTGCAGTCAGAAGATTTGCCAAGCAAGTCACTTATGTGTCCCTGCAAACACGTCACCTGTTTAGATGTAATAACCAAACTCACTCCATTAGAAACTACCAATCAGGCTTCTACTAATCACATTCAAAACCTGGTACATACCGCATTAACACTCATCTTCACAGGTCTGTAAGTCAACAGTTTCCTTGTTCCTCTGCGTTTCACCATGTTCTTAAGAGTCACAGCCCTTAAGAAAGCTCCTTTGCTAGCAACTTCATCAGCTGTTTCCTGTTCTTTCTTGTCCTCTTCACTGTTACTGTCAGTCGGCAATGCCATTTCAGCAATCAACTCACTATAGTCCAAGACTTCCTCTGTCTTGGCAGCCAACATCTGCACAACACAGCTGTTTTGTACTTTGTTGTAATACTCTGAGGCAGTATCAGCAACAGTAGTCTTGATCTTGGAAAATAATCATTAAATTAATCACAGCAATGACATGAACAAGATTTGTTTATGGCAGTTTTGAATATAAATGAGCTAATATTCCACTTATTCACAATGAAACATTTAACATCCATTAACAATTAATCCGCAAGTCCCAAAAATTGTTTTCCTCAGTGCACCATATCAAAACAAAGTTTCTTTGTCAAGATAACAAAACAACAAACAAAGTTGTCAGGGCATAAACAAGCTGTCTATGCTTGCATTAAACCAATATCTGATGACCCGATGCCTCTTATGAACCAGACATAGTCTTTTTTTTCCGACAATTTAGCCCCCAAAAAGTCAACAATCCACCCACTGAGTGGTTAAATTCTAGATCTAAAAGACATCCTTACTCAATATCAATACATACCTAACAATCAATACATAACCATCTCAAAAAAATTAACAAATGAGATTAATTTTTTGCCAGCCTGCTGCAAACTTTAAGAATTAACCATAATCAGATACCTGACAGCTATGCCCCCAAAAAATTTAAGCTTATAAATGTTTACTGCAACCCTCAAGCAACGAAGACAGAAACTGAGAAAATGGAGGAGTTTTACCTCAGTGGGTGTTTTGGTCATAATGGGACACTTCTCTTCCACGATATCCAGTGTTCCTGATGCCACACGATCAATGGTTGAAGCTATGGTAAAGATAAAATTATTTTTAATTCAAAGAGAAACGGTTCACTTACTCTTTCAATAAAATTATTCACAGGTGAGTGATCATGAAAAGCATTCTGGAAGGAAGAGGGGTCAAGGTTGAAGTTGAGAGGGTTTGTGGAGAATAAAATAAATTATCTGCGGAAAATTTGCCCCAAAAAACTACTTAGACGGCAGCCAAACAGGATAGAGAGCATCCATACAGGGATAGTTTGAACAGATTCATCCAATTTAGAATTAAAATTATTACAAGCTTTTCTAACGGATCATTGCAATCTTTGATGTTGCGATTTGTTGTTCTATTGTGCGTAAACCAGTCTTGTTCGGAACCTACCCCGAAGTTATTACTTAGCACTCTACAAAAGTAATTGGTTCGACCACGGTTAAAGTTAAAAATCCTTCAAACAACTGAAGCGTTAAACAACAGTCGCTACTCGGAAAGGAAAGGTCAAAGTACCCTGGCCAAAGTCCATTTACAAACTATTTCCTTCAAGAGAAAAGCAATTACGCTGCAAGATAAAGCCAAGACGAATTAATATCGATAGCTAAAGAAGTCTTACACAGTTAACGAAGGAGCAAGCGCATCAAGTAACAAGTAAATAGTAAAGTAAAGAAGAAAGTTATCACAAAATTAATGTGAAACATGTCAAGTATAAAACATTTCGTAAGCGTCGTACCTTCCGTAAACACGTCATCGAATCGGAAAATTTTTAAACTTACCAGCACATTCAACGACTGGTTTAGACAGCGGGCAAGAGCTTGCTACCTGAATTATAGGTTTAGTGGCAGAATTTGCCATATCGATCGTTTTTTCACCGGCATTACAAGCCATCCTGGTTACACAATTTCGCTCCTTCACAGCACTGTAAATTTGTGATAGTTGATCAACTGCGGCTAGTGCCACGGGCAATTCCCACAGACGAGTCGTGAAAGACTTGTTTTCTACTTCAGTACACATTCTTTCTTGATAAATAGCAGATGTTCCCTCAGCAATGAGACTGACACAAGATTGCAACACAGTTGATCATAAATGATGTGGTGTCACTAAAACGATCTCAAACTTATTTTCAGAACTGACTTAGTGACCACTCCTTCAGGAGCGAAGAAATTCAGCTGGGGAGAGCCCAGCTGGCTTTCGTGCCAGATTTCAATCTCGAGCCCAGCTGGGCTGGGTTGTTCAAAGGCGGGTTAAAATAACCAAGGATTAGTTTGAAATTTGATTTCAGATCTGAAAGCTTTAAAAAGAAAACTTCCGTTTAATTCCATTTGTCTACAGTTTGATAATTGAATGCTCTAATAAAATGGGAAAAATCAGCCCGAAACCACTTTTGAACAGAGAAATATAGAAACCTGGATTAAATTTTAAACCTGGGTTAGCACTAATCAGCCTTCGAACAACTGGGCCCAGGGGAGCCCAGGGTCATTTCGGCTCCTTGTCAACGGTATGGAGGCCAAATTATGTCATGAATGGATGTCATTAATATAATGTTTGGAGTTCGCTTATACAGTTCGCTTACCGTTCGCCTAGTTTGTTCGTTAGCAAAAAGTATCTCACCCCGTTCTCACTTACAGCGCATAATAAACACCACGTCTCCGTGGGGCCTTGGGGGTGGACTTGGAGGCCTGGACACTACAATTAATGATTCATTTTAAATAAATGATCATCCTTTAGCTAAATCAGAGATAATTCTAAAGTGCCCTGCAACCTCAACATATCAATCTAAGCTGCAAACCCTTTCATTGACAAATTGCAGTAAAAACGCGGCTCACAAGCATGTTGTACCCTTTTCGTTGACACTTGCGGTAAAAACGCGTCTCACAGGCATGTTTTGCCATCGTAGTCTAGGTCAAACACTGGTGGTTAGACTTTTGGGTTAGGGTAGGTGTTCCGTGGATGTGGTGTATCCTGGTCCAGGTCTTCATTGTGATTGGTGCCCAAAACTCTCATAGGAGTGGCTACACAAGAATATTGTTTTAGGTACTCTTAACTACTATTCATCTCCACCCCTGTAAAAATTTGACAAGTATTAACTGCAGTATAAAAAGGTCACATCAAACAAGAGTTCTGCAAAGGCAACCATAAACAGCACTCACCGTTTGTCTTATACACCTTTGGGAGAAAATTACTTAGCACAAAGGGAGTGTGATCACAGTTAGTTTCCAAGACCTTTGCAAAATATTTAAGAGGTTGTCAGAGAAGACAATCCTTTTTTGCAGTGTTACAATAATTTTTTTAAGTTGTTTTCATTCTCTCCTCACAGTTTGACAGCAGGAATTTTTTTTTAATATTTGTAGACAACCTGAACAAAAAAAAGGCAGACAAGAGGCTAGTGAAAAAAAGCAAGTGCACTTTTACCTAAAGGATTCTTTCCATTTACCGAATCAAAAAATCATAGTGATGAAACTTGCAAAAATGAAATCTAACCACCAAGGACAAGTATAGATCTCTTGAGACAAGTAAAACACAACAACCTTCTGTAGTAAGACATCACACATTCTCCAGCAATATAAAAACGTCCAACAAAGCAAATGGTTACAATAAAAATTTTATTGCTGCTCTTCCACTACACTCATCTACTCTAAACATAATGTTAAGGCCATAAATCTTTGATTTCATACAAAACAAAATCTTCAAAGAATAACTTTTGTGACCATCACCAACTTGATCAAGTAGTCAAATCTAAAATAAAACAGTTCAATAAATTTGTTTTAACTTAAATGCTACTTTTGTAAACTGATTTAACACTTCATGGCTAACAGTAATCTAGTCAGGAAAGAAAGGAAACTATTGTTCATTTGCTCATATTCATTCACAGGCCAATATGAAAATACCAAATCTGAAATTCAACAGTTCAGAGAAATTAAAAATAAATCATAATAAAGACAGTGGAAGACCTGAGATATGGGCCTTTTGAAGGAAAAACGAAATATACCGCACTTACTAACAATTGATTTAAATTATTTAGGCACTTGAATACTACATTTCAAATAGATGAATACTACATTTCATATAGATGTGATGTGCTTTATAAGTTAACATATTTCTTTCAACAAAGTCAATAATTTCAAGATGAATCTTTCTCATTTTCATATTCCTCCGATTCTGCAGAGTCCTCATTTTCTCCGACCACAATTTGCATTTTCTGCAGGTCTTCCACTGCAACAATGTGGGGTATGATCCACTGGACAGGGCGAGAAGTGAGGAGGTAACCGGTCATCACATGTGGAGGGACAAAGAGGTAGCCAGAAAGTTTATCTTTTGCATCACAGATAGGTTGAACTGCTCTTGTCATCAACCCTGTCACAGTAGCAGGCATTTCTTGCACAGGGTGGGCCTGGAAAGTGGCAAAAATCTTAGTTTTAATTTGGGTTTCGCAAGGAAGTGCAACAAGTTTTTGCCCTCAGTACTTTACTAGCTAGAACAAGTAATTTAAAGATGAAGGTAATCTGTTTTCAATCAACAACAAGACTGGCTGCAAAGTTCTTTTATACACCAATTGAGGATATATATTTAGAGCCTAAACACATCGCAACAAAGCTTGAGCTCAAAACTTTACCTTAGTAAGAGAAAAAACCAATTCCTTTGCCGAGACAATCACATCACCCGTCAGACCAAGAGCCATGTTTGGGATGTACATGGTTGCTTTGAAAACCTTCTTGCCAGCATCAGTTGACATTTCAAGCAACTCACTTGTGCATCCTTGCACACTTGAACACTGTTAAAGAGCAAATATATGCACTCTGTAAGAAATTGGCCCAAGGACTATTCAGTTGAAGTAATATCCAGTATTAATACTACTACAGTCCATGATTGTCTTACTGACTTGTGAACAAAAAAGTTGTATATTTAATGAAATAGACTATTTGGCCAAAACCAACCCTTGATGATCACCAATTAACCAACAATGTACTGAATAATTAAAGCAAATTAAGACGGTTTGGTTGAAATGTAACAGTTATTTTAAAAATTGATAAAAGACTAGCAGGTATGATTTTCAAATAAGACAATGGTTACAAAATTTGTACACTCAAAAGTTCATCAGATCCATAGCATATTACATACCGCATCAACACTCATCTGCACAGGCTTGTAGGACAGCAGTTTCCTCTTTCCTCTGCGGGTCAGCCTTTTCTTCAGCTTGTAGGCTCTTGACACAACTCCTTTGTTACTGTCGTCAAATTCCAACTGCAAATCATTCATGTCTTCTCCACAGTAACCATCTGTTGGCAATGCTAGTTCAGTAATCAATTCACCAAAGTCCAAGGCTTGCTCTGTCTTTGAAACTAACATCTTTACCATACAGCTCTTCTGTACTTTGTCATAGTACTCTGAGGCAGTATCAGTAACAGAGGTCTTGATCTACAAAAATAATTACAATTTGTTAGATAAATCATTACAGATCACTGTCAAAATGTTTTAAACAAGCTACAAATGTGTTTCACCTGGATATAACAGGATCATGCCCTTGAAACAGGGCTACACTTAAGCATCAAAACAAAATTTTTTTTTCTTTTTCTCTTTTCAATTTCGCTCAATGATAGTGTAAAAGTGTATTGATTCCAATTTTGTCTGCAATGGTTTGTGGATGGAACTTATATTCCTTAGCAAAGTGTGAAATCAAAGTCTTTCTCAAAATGACTAAGCATTCAAACTTGATTGGGCATGAATGAGCCATTCATTGACCCTTTGATCTCTAGAGTGACTGGCACCTAATTTTTCCTTACAATATCATCCCTGGATCACACATTATGGTCATGAAAGTGACAAAAATAGTCAACAACTGATGAAAGCTTAAATGGGTAAGAAAACAAACTCTTTTCAGCATCTTGGGAATGTATGAAGAACCGTATGCAGAATAAACGTATTGATGTTAGAGTAAAAAGGGTTAACTAAAGTCCAACACCAAACATGCAGCACCCATGAAATGCACATGCCTCTGTAAATTCACATTAGCAGCTTGAATGCTTCCTTTTATGTCAACAAAACTAAACCCCTTTAGAATGAAAATTTCTTGATGTTCATCGAGTGTATAACAATTCTTGTATCTTGGATGTGAAGAATTTTACCTCAGTGGGAGTTTTGGTTATAATGGGACACTTCTCTTCCACTATAGCCAGTGTTCCCGAGGCCACACGATCAATGGTTGCAGCTGTGTGACAAAGAAAGAAAAACAATTTAATTATCAGAAATCAAATGAGAAACATCTCTCATCACAACCGCCAAACATCTCATAGGGCAACCTCAATCTACTTTAACAGGAAAAACACAACACTAATTCAGTTAAGATGTGACAAAGTTGCCCTGTGTTCTAAAATTGATATCACTTCCTACTTGTAAGAAAATGAGTTAGGCAAAGTCCCGAGTTCGGCTGAAGCAACCAACCAATGATTCACACTTAATTCCTGGAAATGTTCAGAATGTCCCTTATAAAATTAATTATGTTGAGAAAAATTATTTAATTATTCACTACGTCGCTCCCAATGGCTTGTGACGTTCCGCACGCATGTTTTACATGTAAATTAAATTTACATTTTTGCATATCAAAATGTCGCCCAAAGGCCTTAAATTAAGTACCATTTAACAACGTATGTTTAATTGATCAACCAAACGAAAACCGCAACCTTTTCCCAAACTTCGAAAAGCAAACTAAGTAGTGTTCTGGTCAAAGTTCAAATAGACGTTCGAAAGGAGAAATTTGTTACACAACAAGGAGTGCGTAGTACGTTGTGCCATTACTACGAACCCAAACTACGACATACGCCAATTTACGAAAACTACAAAATACAATTTCACAGATGGAAAATAACAATGTCAATAAAATCTGTCATTCCTGTTATCTGATGAACCGTAACTATAAAAATTTCTACGAGAGAAAACACAGTCTTGACTTACCAGCACATTCAACTGTTCCAACGATGGGTTTAGACAGCGAGCAGGTGCTGGCTGCCTGAATGATAGGCTTCGAAGCAGAATTCGCCATATCAATCGTTTTTTCACCGGCATTACAAGCCATTCTGGTGACACAATTTCGCTCCTTCACAGCAGAGTAAATTTCTGAGAGTTGATTAACTGCAGCTAAAGCTACAGGCAATTCCCACAGACGAGTCGTGAAAGACTTGTTGTCAGCCTCAGGCATTCTTTCAACTTCAGCAGCCATTTCTTCACTCTGCATAAGGGGTGCTATCAGTACAAACGACACAAGGAGTCGAAGAAAAACTAGAATAGAGGACAAGGTATCGAAACGAAAATTTATGGCGATCAGATGTGGACTTTGGTCGTGTAAAAACAGCTCAAAACTGACCAATTGCAATAACGGTTATAAAAAGT